AGGCGAGTTCCCGCCCCGCCACTCCCCTCCGCGGTGACGTCACCGAGGGATATCGCGGTCGCTAGGCAACGCGAATCAACAGCGGCGACGTTACGATAGTAACAGCGGTGACCTCCGCTAGCGTTACATAGCAACAGAGCGCCAGGCAAAAGGGTGCCTATTACGTGGCCGTTTTCCCGTATTGTCCGATCGAGGCTACATAGGGAGAAGCGAAGGCTATTCACAGCCAGTTCTAGTGTGGCTACCGCAGAGTTGTACTGAGTCAGTCAGCGAGTCCTGGACCTATCGTCGAGTTAGCCAGCAACCAGTCAGTTGTATTGTGGCATTTGGAGTGTACTAATTGTGATACTGCAGGTAGCAGTAATCGTCAGATTGTAATTTGGGTGATTGTATGAGCGAATGTGAAATAAAACTCGCTACATCAAATACAACGAGAAGTTATTTGTCGCGATATAAGCCCAAAACACGCGACAATATAAACATCCAGTACATACCTCACAGGAAACAAATTACATCTCCGCTACAAAGCCCAACCGGTCAATGCTGTTTAGGGAAACAGTCGCTGTTTATTGTCATAACCATATGAAACATACAAATACAATGTGTGGGTAGAATGTAGAGTTTTAGTATGGTAAAGCGGGTGGTACATATAGCGACCACTGGACCTTAAAGAGTTCAAATTCTTTCAACAGTTCTTGTTATGTGCAGACGACATAAAAACGTGGCTTAGCTAACACAATAATTTTGTAACTTTTTCTTCGTGGGAGCGCCAAAAAATGGAACCACAAAGAACATCTGGGAGAAATACTTGCTGTTGGTTACTAAACAAACATCTGATTGATGAGCTCAGTGTCTTTGAAACGATACACAATGACTGCGATTACGTACAAAATAGTATTAACAATAATCCCGATCATTTTAAGAGGCCTACAAGAGTATGTGTTTGCCCCGAGCACTGCAACTTCTTTCTTCTTGTTTTCTGCTCAGGAGTGCGACACTGCAGAATGGTGCAGCGAAGCAAGAGCCCCCGGATCGTATCCATGGTAACCGTGATGGTACGTTGCGGGGTGGAGCATGTGATGATGGTGTGTTGCTGTTGATGCTCCGCCCCCGGCCTCCTCACCACCCCCACTTCCGACAGCCCCAGACACACCCGGTTCATTCTTAACCACGCCCATGGAACTACCACTGGAGTCACCGAATAGCTTTGATGCTGCAGAATAACACAGCGGTTTCAGGTCTGGCAGGTTTGCGAGGTCCATAACGGGCCCTCCTGGTGAAGCGGACAGCAACCCTTCGTTCCCTTGGCACATTAAACCCAGCTCCCTGTAACACACGCAAGAAAAAAATTACGAAATTACATTTCTAACATAACCCTGAATGAGTTGAGTGATATGCTGCAAAACCAGTTTAAAATTTATAAATTATCTCGAAAATTGAAATTAACTGCAGTGCAGTTTGGAGGAATATTGGATGGACGATCGAGGAATCAGGGTTCGATTCCCAGCAGAACTCAACAGATATATATCTATTCTCCATTGTGTCTGGGCCAGGTTTTGGAGCCTATACAACTCGTACCTTGAGCTCTTCCCCTGGGGTAAAGCGGCAGAGGCGTGATGCCGATGAGAATGCATGCAGCTATACGTTCATTTCTCACGTGACTGATGGGAGGGATTTATGAATTACGTGTATGCAGGTGAGATGGGCTCAGATGTCATGTTACACATACCAAGTTTCATAAAGATTGGTTAAGGCATTCAAAAGTTAATAGAGGGGATTCACGAACACACAGACAGCATGGTGATCGCATAAACCTACTTTAGGAAAGTAAGCTAAAAATAAAAGTAGGCTTATGAGATCACCAGTCTGTGCTCACCCTCATCGTTGCTAGGCAAAGGCTCGGTAAACATGTCCCCGCGGCAATACACAGGCAACAACAGTAAAAACGTTGAGCGCGTCGTTTTGTATGAAGACCGTTTCGTAACAGTCTGTCATGGGTCCCGATGGATCAGCACCAATTTACCCGACCGACCTATAGCTCTTCCCACAACTTCTTGTAAATTATTTACAAGTACTGTGAAGTTTCGTTTATAATTGTCTGGTCGCCCCTGAATGTGGCTATAAATGGCCAGAATGCGTTGGAAATTATTATTATTATTATTATTATTATTATTATTCGATTATGTGGATTGGTTTCACTAGATGGTACACTTCATTACTCTGTAACCAGCCAAATTCCCTGTCAAACACGAGGCCTCAAGCTTAAAGATAAAGTAAAAAGTAAAGCTGTCCCTGTCCTTAACTAATTAATCAGTACGCCATGAAGGCGTATGGGGGAATGGATGTATAGGTCCACATTTTCTTCACCTCGGCACTAGTTGGATGTTTGTGGTCAACTTCACGCCCCGGCCGCTCTACCACCCGAGGGAAGAGGCCTACAGTACCCGCTGGATAGGAGGCTGGGTGGGCTCCCAGAGCCGGTCTGGACAAAGTGGAGAAAATTGTTGACCCTCCTGGGAATCAGTCGTCCAGCCCATACCAATCACTATACCGACTGCGCACACACTGGCTCCCAGCTTAAAGACGTACTATATAAGTTGTAATTATGTGCTGCCTGATAAGGGCTATCGCATGTGGTGTGTATTTTGTGTGTATACAAGTACATTTACATACACGTACATCTTGCCCACATTCACACGCTTGTATTACATTTAAATCATCTTTCTTTTGCCTGAATATTCTCACATTTGTACTGTACATTTCACTGCTTGACAACTGGATAATACTCATGAACAAGTGACACAAGTTATATTTACATCTTTTGTTAGGCCTTGGCCGCTTTTTCAGTTTCTTGATCCTACACAGTTGGTAGGATTCCTTGGACTGGGGATCTGCCCGTCGCAAGTCTGATACCTATACACAGAATAAATGTACACAGCCAGCCATGCCTTGAGTGGGATTCGAACCCACAATCCCAGCGTTCGCGAGAGCGAAGACAGTTCGTGCCTTACACCGCGCAGTCACTGTGATCTGCAAGACATGATGGAATACTGGGAGGCGTCTATAGACAACGCAGCCGTGAAGCGGGCCGGCTTGATGAGAGCGCCGTCCGGCTCTTACGCTTGTGACATGGCGCGACCGAGAATACGATGAAGTTTTCCGGACGGTACATCCGAGACTTTACACCCATACCGTCCGGCTCTTCGACCTGAATGTTGATTCGAGAAGACTGTTGCTAAGCGACCAGAAGGCAAATATGATGCATCATATTTCAACTGACAGCCTTATCGCCCAGTCCTGGAAGAAACTGCTTCCCTGCATAAAAGATATCTCCTTTCCGTCAAGTTCCACGCCAGTGGTATGTGCAGAAGAGAACACAGACTAAACAGCGCAGCAGGACAGCTGATAACTGTTGTGACCACAGTCAGTGACGAGCACGTGACCGTCTCAAGTAGCGATGAATGAACGCCAGAAACGTTGCTGAAGTCTTGCCTCGCCAGTAGACCTTGCAGCTCTGTTGCTGCCCGTGCAAGTTTCTATCCAACGTGCTTCTGAGAATATGTTTTGGTTTGTGGGCTATTTATCGACCCTGTCAATACACTACGTATATAGAATCGTATGGCAGGATGACTGCTGAAGGGTGTGTTAGAAAGGCTCTGGAAGTACTTATAGTTGTCTCATCAAGGTATCACTCCGAAATTTGCTTGGAATAGCTAAGTAAAATCACGAAAAATTAGTTCGTAGCGGGGGAAATAAGAGAATCAGTAGAAAACCTGCCCCAATGATTTTTTTTTTTTTTGCTGGTGGGGTGGGACTAAGGCCGCTTTCACACAAAACACGGTGGCTTCCGACTAGTGTCTGGGACACAGCCGCTCAACGCCACAGCACGCACGCTTAGTGTCTCTGACGTCAAAACCCCACACTGATGTTGGCCTCAGTCATTCAGGTGGATGTATCAAAATGTTATCCACCATTTCATCAATAACGCTGGCATACAACTCAATGCACTTCCAGTGGCCAGACCAAAAGTCAGTGTCCCGGCCACTGACGGGGAAAGACAGCTGCGACACAGTGTCTTGGACGTGGGAACACTAGTATTCACACTAATGTATTTGCAGTCGCTGGACACTGTGTGTCTTGTCTGAAAGCAGCCTAAGTCCCTTGTACTGTGGCCACTTTTGGCCTATTGTACCAGGCCCAGATGGTAGGCGAGGGTGATTGTGGAGCAACTGGTGGAATCAAGATTGGCAGGGGAAACCGAAGTGCTAGGAGAAAACCTGCCCCAGCGCCACTTTGTCCACCACATACCCACACTTGACCAAACCCGGGCCGCCGCGATGGGAAGCCAGCGACTAACCGCTTGAGCTATGGCGCGGCCTTGCCCCAATGACGTAAATCACACACGAAATCACTGAAGATAAACCCAGGCTCCCGCTGTGAATAGCTAACAGCTTACGCCAAGGCTTGCAAGCAAGAGTAGAAGACGGGAGATAATATTAAAATGAATCTTAAAAAGATACAGAGTTTGAGGGTATGAACTAGACTGAGCCTGACACTTGATTGGGACCAGACACGGGCTGTTAGCACCTTCTGTTCCATAAACGACAGAGAACTGTGTTCCTCCACAGAGGAACAAGCGATTCATAAGGCCACAGATTCATCACGTGGCTATACTGTACGTTCATGTCTCGAGTTCTGTAGTGACAGGTTTATTTCATGATGATAAACTAGTGCAGAGATTATTAGGTGCCCCATGATATGAAAAAAAAATACGAACTGTGTATGAAATGGAATGGTTAGACAGGAAGCATTAGAAGCGGGGAAGGGATGTGAACACCCGACAGGAAGTGATCATCTTGGGTTGGCAAGTCCTACAAGGTTAATGCTAAACTGAAATTTAAAATGTTTGTGTGTACGAATGCGGAATGCAATTAATCCTAAAATTAAAGTTTGTAAAAATAAATTATATATATATATATATACATACCTATATATGAACACTAAAACTAATAATAACACAAAATTTCTGTGATATTGTCTTCGTTTTCTAATCAATATATTTCTTCCAACTGAATGTGGCTCAAAAGTACATGCAATAAAGCGCTGGAAAGTGTTACTCATTGATGACTACCCTCTTCAGAGTTGCGACGCCGTGTAGTCTTGTAGAATATACAGTGTGTCCCAAAAGGAAATGTCAATATTCTGGGAGGTTACAGTACCGACCCATTCGAAGCAAAAAGTGTACATGTGTCCTATTCCGAACGGTTTCCGAGATAGAGCTACTGCACTGTTAAAAAAAAAAAAGTAAAGCTATCCCTGTAACAGGCCGTGGAGACCCATAGGGTTGTGAGATGTTGAGGTTCCCACATTTTCTAGACAATCGGTTCATAGATGGCGGGAAGGTTGTCAGCCTTACGCGCCGGTCGCCCTTTACCCCCAATAATATTCCTGGTACTCATTTCTGTTAGAGGTTGAGTCGACCACAGGGCCATACTGCGCCTGGAAGGATTAGGTAAATTGAAAAAATTCACGTCATCGGGATTCGATCCCGCGACCTTCCAGCTTGTAGCATAGTGCCTCAACCAACTACGCTACCGCGTGCCCCACAAGCTGGGATAGCCAGTCAATATGATTGGCTACAGTTTGGACAATTGTGGGGTCACAGTGTGAGACACAGTAGGGTCAAGACCTCCAGACTAGTTCTGCGACCCACCCAGCCTCCTACCCAGTGGGTACCACGAGCTCCTTCCTGCGGCATGAAGCTGGCAACTCACCTAAAACTAGTGCTGAGGTCAAGAATATGTGGATCTACACATCCACTCCCCCATAAGCCTTCATGGTGTAGTACTTAATAAGTTAAGCACTGGGACAACCTTAAGAGTTTTTCTACATTTTATAGCTAAAGGTAACACTGTCCTGGTACAAAATTAGGCACCACAAGAAGTTGTGCGGGAAAGTGCAGGTGAAGGTTACACATTCTTAACCTCAGCACTAGACTGGTCAGCTTCATGCCTCAGCCATTTTTCCTTGGCTACTTCGCTGTACAGTTCCAAAATTGTTAGTAAGAAAGAGTATATGGTACTGTTTCTAATACCGGAATTTACTGTTAAGTGACAAAGTTGGTACAGTTTACCTAGTATAATACATTTTCGAAAATTCCAGCGTCAACGTCAAGGCACTTAGCAGCTCGTGTGAAGACATGGCGTTTTGCTCGTCTGTACAGTGTCCTGTACAGTGAAATAGCTCTATCTCGGTGCAACTCGTGTGAGGACATGGCGTGTTGCTCGTCTGTACAGTGTACTGTGCCGTGAAATAGTTCTATCTCG